CATACTTACCTGTAAAATTCAATTCTTGGAGTACATCACAGGACACAGAGCAGGCCGTTCATGACTATTCATGGGTTATATGCCACTTATAGGTGAATGTACACTGGCTGACCAACCAAAGAGGAACCCCTCCCCTATATAACCCCTCCTACACACAGAATCCTCTGTGGCTCTGACATCCACCTGGTAGAACCTTGTGAACGTGTGAACTGAAGCCCATGTAGCAGCCTTGCAAACCTGAGCAACTGACGCCTGATGGTGGATCGCCTAAGATGCCCCCACGCTTCTTGTAGAGTGTGCTCTCACGCTAAAGGGTGGAACCTTACCCTTCAAATTATAGACTTGAATGATCAACTGGCAGATCCAATGTGAAATAGTTGCCTTGGATGCCACCTGTCCTTTCCTAGGCCCATCAGGCAGCACTAAAAGAACATCCAACTTCCTAACCTGTGCAGACATTTTCAGGAAGACACTTATAGCACTTACCACATCCAATGTATGCAATGATCTCTCTCTTCCTGACTAAAGCCTAGGAAAGAATGAAGGCAGAAAAGTGTCCTGATTGAGATGAAAACTAGAAACCACCTTGGGTAAAAAAAAAGATGGCTGAGGTTGCAACACCACCTTATCCTGATGAAAAACCAGAAAAGATTCTTTACAAGAAAAGAGCTGCCACCTCCGACACCCTTCTTGCAGAAGTGGTTGCCACTAGAAACAAAACCTTATGAGCCAACAGGACTAGTGGAATCTTCCTAATAGGTTCAAATGCTGGTTTCTGAAAAACCTCCAAGACCAAGTTCAGGGCCCAAGGTCATAAAGGTAGCCTGACAGGAAGAAGTATATGCATTACTCCTTACAAAAAGGTAGGAACTAGAGAGTGAGACGCAATGGGCCTTTGGGAAAAAATAGCCAGTGCTGAAATCTGGCCCTTAATAGCACCAACAGCAAATTTCTTTTCCAGACCTGATTGAAGAAACAATTGGATCCTAACAATTATATATTTTCATGGATGTCATCTCTGGTCCTCATACCAGGAAATGTAAGCCTTCCAAGCTCTGTAATAATTGTTCCTAAAAACTACTTTTCTAGTGCTCAAAATAATGGTGATGACGTAATCTGATACTCCCCTATTCTTCAGGATCTGGATCTCAATAGCCATGCCTTCAAATTCAGTGACCGTAAAGCTGGGTGCAATATAGATCCTTGAGACAACAGGTCTAGCAGAGACCAAGGCCAGTGTACTGCCAGCTTCACTAAGTCCACGTACCAGGCCCTCCTGGGCCAGGCCGCGGTAATCGGCATCACCAGAAAGACACCTCCAGAATCCTGCGTAAGAGACATGGCAGCAGCTGAATCAGAGAAAAAGCATAAATTAGGGAAAACTGGCTCCAAGGAATCACTAAGGCATCTAGCCCTGCTGCACGAGGGTCCATTACCCTGGACACAAAAAGGTCGACCTTGTTGTTGAACCTGGATGCCAACAGATCTACATGTGGGCAAACCCATTGCTTTTAGATTGCCATGAAAACCTTGGAATGCAAAGCCCACTCCCCCAGAATCAACTGTTGGCGACTGAGATAATTACATAGCTACATAGTTAGTCTGGCTGAAAAAAAGACAAAAGTCTATTTAGTTCAAACAAAAAAAAAAAAGTTATAATCTTATACCCACAGTTAATCCAGAGGAAGACAAAAAAAAAAAAAGCATGATCCAATTTGCTCATGCAGGGGAAAAAATTCCACCCTGATCTCCTGAGAGGCAATCGGATATTCCCTGGATCAACTTTACCTATAAATGATAGTATCCAGTTATATTCTGTGTATCTAGGAAAGAATCCAGGCCTTTTTTAAAGCAATCCACTGAGCTGGCCAGAACCAACTCTTGAGGGAGTCTATTCCACATTTTCACAGCTCTTACTGTGAAGAAGCCTTTCCATATTTGGAGATTAAATTTATTTTCCTCCAGACATAAAGAGTGCCCCCTTGTCCTTTGTGATGACCTCAGGGTGAATAGCTCTACACTGAGTTCACCATATGAACCACTGATATATTTATACATGTTGATCATATCCCCCCTTAATCTCCTCTTCTCAAGAGAGAATAAATTCAGTTCCTCTAATCTTTCCTCATAGCTGATCTCCTCCATGCCTCTTATCAGTTTGGTTGCCCTTCTCTGCATTTTCTCCAGTTCCCCAATGTTCTTTTTATGAATTGGTGCCCAAAACTGAACTGCATATTCCAGATGAGGTGTTACTAATGATTTGTACAGGGGTAATATGATATCTCTCTCTGGAGTCTTGTGATCTACCAAAACTCCCAGATCCTTCTCCACCATTGATTCCCCCAGTTGTACCCCCCTACTATGTATGATGCATGCATATTCTTAGCCCCCAAGTGCATAACCTTACATTTATCAACATTAAACCTCATTTGCCACACAGTTACCCAATTAAACAGTGCATTGAGGTCTGCTTGTAAGTTGGAGACATCCTGTAAGGACGTTATTCCACTGCATAGCTTGTGTAGCTGCAAACACTGAAACTGTATGTTTAATCCCAGACCCTACAGTATATTGTTTATAAATATATTAAAAAGTTCCAACACTGAACCTTGGGGTACACCACTAACAACCCTAGACCATGCAGAGTATGAATCATTAACCACTACTCTCTGAATACGATCTTTTCGCCAGTTTTCTATCCCTTTACATATACGGATTTTTCCAAGCCTGTAGACTTTACCTTACACATTAGCTGTGTGTGGGGAACTGTGTCAAACACTTTTGCAAAATCCAAGTATACCACGTCCACAGTCATCCCTCTGTCCAAGGTTTTGCTCACCTCCTCTTAAAAAGAAATCAGATTTGCTTGACAACTTCTGTCTTTCATGAATCCATGTTGTCTGTTGCTTAAATTTTTTTTTCAATCAAGAATGTCATCTTTTATTAAACTCTCCAGTATCTTCCCAACTATAGAAGTTAAACTAACAGGTCTATAATTACTTAAAGTAAAGATTGTGATCCCTTTTTAAATATTGGCACCACATTGGCCTTACGCCAATCCAGTGGTACTATGCTAGTCATTAATGAGTTCCTAAAAATTAGAAACAATGGATTTGAAGTGACAGAGCTCAATTCTTTAAGGACCCGTGGGTGTATGCTGTGACGGTTGCGTGGCGTCAGACCCCAGCCCTTCTCACCAACTTGTGACTGAAGGACCAGCCGATCTCAAACCGCGCTGTCACTTGCGTAACAATGCCACTCTCAGCTGTGCCCTGCACAAAGATTTTGCAGCTCGCAGGACCACAATATATGTGTCAGGGCTCCCGGGTATGACCAGAGGTATGTGACTGACGCAGGGAAACGCAGACTTCAGATATGTTATAAACAATGTAATTTATTAACACTAACAATACAAACATAAACGCAGTGCAATACTAAACATAATACAGTGCAAACAAACCAACCAACCACCCACAGATAACAGTACATACAATGCAAGCGTCGTCAGGCAGGCCGGGTCAATATCAGTCGGGCAGGTAGGTACAGGGGGAGCAAGCGGAGAGATGGTCGGGGTCACAGGCCAGGTTCAGCAGGTAGCGGGCAGCGTGGTACAGAGGGTCAGGCAGAGGAGAATGGTCAGACAAGCCAGGGATCAGAGCAGGGTCAGCAGAGAATCAGACAGGAACAGAGAGCAGGAACAGGATACAGGGCCCAAGAGAAACACAACACCAAGGCAGAGTCTGCAGGTCTGAATGTCCCTTAAATACACCAGTATAATTAGTTCCAGGTGTTTGACTGGCTGCAAGGTTGAGTCTCTGATTGCTGGGAGCACCCGCTGGCCAGCCCTGGTACTGCAGCTCATAAGGCAGCTGAGTCCCACTATTGCTGGCCAGTCCATTCCTGACAGTACCCCCCCCTCAAGGAGTGGCCTCAGGACGCTCCAAACAGTCCTAGCTGGGCAAAATGTTCCACCACCCGGGTCTGGTAACTGGCGGGATATCAAAGACTGGCACACCGGGCAGGACTCCGGGCAGCGGCACACCGGGCAGAGGCACATCGGGCAGGACTCCGGGCAGAGGCACATCGGCTGGACTCCGGGCAGAGGCACATCGGGCTGGACTCCGGGCAGAGGCACATCGGGCTGGACTCCGGGCAGAGGCACATCGGGCTGGACTCCGGGCAGAGGCACATCGGGCTGGACTCCGGGCAGAGGCACTCCGGGCAGAGGCACATCGGCTGGGCAGACTCTCCGGGCAGAGGCACATCGGGCTGGACTCCGGGCAGAGGCACATCGGGCTGGACTCCGGGCAGAGGCACATCGGGCTGGACTCCGGGCAGAGGCACATCGGGCTGGACTCCGGGCAGAGGCACATCGGGCTGGACTCCGGGCAGAGGCACATCGGGCTGGACTCCGGGCAGAGGCACATCGGGCTGGACTCCGGGCAGAGGCACATCCGGGCGGAGCATGCAGGCAGCGGGCCCCCGGGCGGAGCGGCGGGCCCCCAGGAGGGGCGACAGGCGTCGGGCCCCCCCCAGGCGGGGCGACAGGCGCCGGGCCCCCAGGAGGGGCGACAGGCGTCGGGCCCCCAGGAGGGGCGACAGGCGTCGGGCCCCCAGGCGGGGCGACAGGCGTCGGGCCCCCAGGCGGGGCAACAGGCGTCGGGCCCCCAGGCGGGGCAACAGGCATCGGGCCCCCAGGCGGGGCAACAGGCATCAGGCCCCCAGGCGGAGCGGCGGGCGCCGGACCCCCAGGCGGAGCGACAGGTCTCGGGCCCTCAGGCGGAGCGGCGGGCGCCGGACCCCCAGATGGAGCGACGGGTCTCGGGCCCTCAGGCGGAGCGGCGGGCGCCGGACCCCCAGGCGGAGCGACAGGTCTCGGGCCCCCAGACGAAGCGGCGGGCACCGAGTCACCAGGCACGACAGTGGGCTCCGAGTCAACTGGCATGACCGCTGGCACTGGGTCAGACATTGGATCGTCTGGCTGGACAGCGGGCATCGGGTCACCAGGCATCAGGTCATTTGGCTCGACAGCGGGCACCGCGTCATCTGGCAAGGCAGTGGGCTCCGAGTCAACAGGCACGACAGTGGGCACCGGGTCATCAGGTACCGGATTGTCTGGCTCGACAGCGGGCATCGGGTCAGCAGGTATGACAGCGGGCACTGGGTCACCAGGCATCAGGTCATTTGGCTTGCCAGCGGGCACTGCGTGATCTGGCAAGGCAGTGGGCACCGGGTCACCAGGCATTGGATCGTCTGGCTCGACAGCGGGCATCGGGTCACCAGGTATGACAGCGGGCACTGGGTCACCAGGCATCAGGTCATTTGGCTTGCCAGCGGGCACCGCGTCATCTGGCAAGGCAGTGGGCACCGGGTCACCAGGCATTGGATCGTCTGGCTCGACAGCGGGCATCGGGTCACCAGGTATGACAGCGGGCACTGGGTCACCAGGCATCAGGTCATTTGGCTCGCCAGCGGGCACCGCGTCATCTGGCAAGGCAGTGGGCACCGGGTCACCAGGCATTGGATCGTCTGGCTCGACAGCGGGCATCGGGTCACCAGGTATGACAGCGGGCACTGGGTCACCAGGCATCAGGTCATTTGGCTCGCCAGCGGGCACCGCGTCATCTGGCAAGGCAGTGGGCACCGGGTCACCAGGCATTGGATCGTCTGGCTCGACAGCGGGCATCGGGTCACCAGGTATGACAGCGGGCAACTGGGTCACCAGGCATCAGGTCATTTGGCTCGCCAGCGGGCACCGCGTCATCTGGCAAGGCAGTGGGCACCGGGTCACCAGGCATTGGATCGTCTGGCTCGACAGCGGGCATCGGGTCACCAGGTATGACAGCGGGCACTGGGTCACCAGGCATCAGGTCATTTGGCTCGCCAGCGGGCACCGCGTCATCTGGCAAGGCAGTGGGCACCGAGTCACCAGGTACGACAGCGGGCTCTGAGTCAATTGGCACGACAGCGGGCACCGGATCAGGTACCGGATCATCTGGATCAACAGCGGGCATCGAGTCAACTGGCCTAATAGGATCGTCAGGCTGGATCAGTTCATCACGCTGGGTAGAGGCATCAGGCTGAATGCCGGCGTCCGGCTGAGTAGAGGCTTCAGGCCGAATAGAGGCTTCAGGCCGAGTAGAGGCTTCAGGCCGAGTAGAGGCATCAGGCCGAGTAGAGGCATCAGGCCGAGTAGAGGCATCAGGCCGAGTAGAGGCATCAGGCCGAGTAGAGGCATCAGGCCAGTAGAGGCTTCAGGCCGAGTAGAGGCTTCAGGCCGAGTAGAGGATTCAGGCCGAGTAGAGGCTTCAGGACGAGTAGAGGCATCAGGCTGCGTTCAGGCATCAGGCCGAGTAGAGGCATCAGGCCGAGTAGAGGCATCAGGCCGAGTAGAGGCATCAGGCCGAGTAGAGGATTCAGGCTGAGTAGAGGCTTCAGGCTGAACCACGGAAGGCAGGTTCTCAGACGGCAGGCTCACCCGGTTTGGATACTGGCAGGATGGTATTGGTTGGAAAGAATTTTCGCTTTTTTCTGGTTTTAACTACTGGAGCACTGCAAGTAAACGCAGGTCTGCAAACGAATGGAGCAGCTGGAGACAGAGAAGAACTGGAGGATGGAACAGGAGAGGGAGCAGTTGCTACAGAGGGCTTTTTTACAGAGTTAAAGGCAGGATAGGTGCAGTGAGTGGGAACAGGGTACTGACATGCGGTAGATAGCAGGGCAGGAGGAGCTGTTGGGAATGCAGGAATAGAGTTTTGAGGAAATAGATTAGAAGCAGGACTGGGTCTTTGTAAGCTGACTGAGGCTGGGTGCAACAAATCTGTCCATGTCTGCAGTATGGGTTGAACAAAGCTGAGCTTACACAAAGCCTGTCTGACCAAAGACTGCACTGCGTTTATACAATCTCTTAGTGTCTGTGGTGAACATGTGGAATAACGCTCCAGAAAGTAACCCACATCATCCTCTAATATAACCATACCAGGGACTCTACCTGGTCTGCACTAAATGGTGGCAAAAATTCCTCCCTGCATTCGAGGGTACCAGATGAAACCAACTCAGCACAAACCTCAATCAAAGGCTGCACCTCAGAGAATTCTGTGCCCTGATCTACTAGAACATGAGCGAGCCGTATACATTCTAGCAGTTCATCCCGGGGATACTCCTTCAGAGTTTGATAAGCATACTCCCTGTCATCAAACACTAGCAGATATAAATACGCAACCTCATCCAGATCCATCCTTCCCATCAACAAGCCAAGATGGCTTCCCTGTGCAGCCACTTCTGGTCAGGATTGGCCTTGGTGTAATGTCAGGGCTCCCGGGTATGACCAGAGGTGTGTGACTGACGCAGGGAAACGCAGACTTCAGATATGTTATAAACAATGTAATTTATTAACACTAACAATACAAACATAAACGCAGTGCAATACTAAAACATAACACAGTGCAAACAAACCAACCAACCACCCACAGATAACAGTACATACAATGCAAGCGTCGTCAGGCAGGCCGGGTCAATATCAGTCGGGCAGGTAGGTACAGGGGGAGCAAGCGGAGAATGGTCGGGGTCACAGGCCAGGTTCAACAGGTAGCGGGCAGCGTGGTACAGAGGGTCAGGCAGAGGAGAATGGTCAGACAAGCCAGGGATCAGAGCAGGGTCAGCAGAGAATCAGACAGGAACAGAGAGCAGGAACAGGATACAGGGCCCAAGAGAAACACAACACCAAGGCAGAGTCTGCAGGTCTGAATGTCCCTTAAATACACCAGTATAATTAGTTCCAGGTGTTTGACTGGCTGCAAGGTTGAGTCTCTGATTGCTGGGAGCACCCCGCTGGCCAGCCCTGGTACTGCAGCAGCTCATAAGGCAGCTGAGTCCCACTATTGCTGGCCAGTCCATTCCTGACAATATGTGCCAGCAGCCTGAGAATGATTGTTACTGGGTAATGTTAATTACGCAGTTAACCCTTCACACTGCCACCACCACCTTTTTACAGAGAAGGAGGAAACTCACAAATCTTAGCAGTAACACTATGATATTAGTATAAGCGTCTGTAACACACTGTCACCACAGACAGATGTATTCAGAGGATTATCACATACAGTAGCACTCTTCAGAGACAGGGATTCTTTTAGTTTGCATTAAACGCTTTAAAAACAGTTCAACACTTTTCATAAGATAGGATTTATTACTAAAAAGGTCAAAATGGTGCAATTAAAATATTTACAAAAAAAACGTAACAAATTACAAATATTATATATATATATATATATATAAGAGAGTACTAAAACAACAGAGAAACAAAAGGAAAGAAGTCTCAGAAGGCAGAATACTTGCAAAAGTACCTTGGTTTGAGCAGAGTCCAATCATCCGAACAAAAGGTTGCCTTTGTTCTCAAAAGATGGTTCCTGATGTTAAAAGGGAGAGCTCCCTTTTATCCAGGCTGTCAGTCTGTTTCTATTATCTCAAAGGGGTGTCTCCTGAGAACAAATAGCCAATCACCGCATTTGGGGATGGGTTAACCAAGTTTAGGACCAAATGCCTTACAAGTTCATACTACGGTCAATAACCTTCAATAGGTACAGGTAGCATCCTAGCAACTGGCAGATTAATATTTAGAATCATATTCCAAATGTGCAGATACCAAACTGTAGCATATACTGCCACTCCGGATAAAAGATATTACTTTCTACCCTCTTGTAGGTGCTACATAGGGACGTAAGGTGTCATGTGACTCATATTAAAATGACCTATCCAAATGTATACTTCATATCAATGTGCCTAGTTCCTGCTGAAGTTTATGAATTTGTATGAAAAATGACTCATGCGGGATGTACGTTTTATGGCAGACTCTGCTGTAATTGCTTGCAGGTCATGATCGACTGAGTTATGGTTTTACGACCGGGCAGAGGAAAGTGGTTATCAAGCAGACATTCTGGAACCAGACTAATTAGGGGTTTACAGCCCTGGAGTAAGATATGCACTTTTGACCTCTGTTCACTTACAGACTCACATTCCTTTCGAAAGGGAGAAAGAAGGAGGAAGAATCGAGAGTCATGAGAGACAAAATGCTGCCAGCATCCAGGTCTCTATGCGCACAACTGTTACATATGCCATCCGATCTAGGTGCTTTATTCATCGTTGATCGTTGGGATCCCAAAGATCGTCACGATCTCCCACGCACCTTAATCTTGGACTCATACCTGGCACTGTCACTGATTAGTGACATATCACACCACTGTTGAATCACTTTATTTTGTATATGTAAGCACCATGTCACTTTGATCACTCACCTTGTGATTGATAATATTTATACTTATTGAGTTGATTGCAATGACACAATTCATAGGTTATTACTGAGTCATTTTTATCATTGTATGTACTTACTATTTATTGGTTTTACTTATTTTTATCAGCATTAAGGTTATTTTAGCGCTACACCCTGATGTTTATTGTCTACTTGGGAGGTCTTTTTGGTACCTTTGGTGTTTAGCTGCTTACTGACTTCTAGCGCTCGCTTATTTTTTCCCTTTTATATTCTTTGTAATGTTTTAAACGATGATCGCGTTCCTTTATTTTTATAAAAACTCTTTTCTTATTATTTATAGCTTTCCTAACTTTGACCGTAAGCCACATAGGTTTTATTTTTAGCCTTTTAAACTTGTTGCCTATGGGAATATATTTTGCAGTGTGTTCACATACAAACTTTTTGAAGAACTCCCATTTCTGTGTTGTGTTCATCGATGAGATTGCAAATGTTCATATGTGAATGGAACCTTAGAGGCCATAACTTTTTTTATACAGAATCTGTGCCCCTTTCAGGGAATGTCCCCTCACTTCCAGTAATGACAAAAAATAAGAAATCTCCTAAGTATCCCAGCAGGTTACCAGGAAAAAAAAAAAAAAGAAAAATTCATACATGGAAGGAGTACCAGGTCAAAAGATAAACTCAATCTGTGCAGGGAAGCTAATTGCTGGAATAGGGGAAAATTACTGGCCAGCAGTATCTGCATGAGCACTTAAGATAAGAAAGAATAGGAATCTATCCAACAGGAGATGTAGATAAAACAAAAACATGTTTAATACAGCTGAGGAAGGGTTAGAACTTTTGTTTTAATGCTGTCTTTGCTTCCCAGTGTGGAAGCAAGTGCGCCTCCCCATTTCTTTTATGAAAGGTAAAAAGTACAGGAAATTTCACAGACAGAAGACCAATCAAAATTTGAACTCAAACATTTATTTATTTTTTAGACCTTAATGTGACTTAAAATGCTTGGATATATACAGTAGTGAATATAATTGGATATATAATATTGGATATAATTTAGGAAACCCGGGCAAATATTGCAGCACAGTGATTGCATCTATGTATAGATTTAATGTTTACATGGTCTTTACACAATTTAGATCTTCAGAATCCATAGAAAACATGCAGATTCTTTCAAGCTATGCATGTCCTACTGTTTGCTTCAATCACCACTTTGAAGAGAGCTCTGTCTTGTTTAGATACTGGTTCTCAAGGAGGAGACATAGGAGGGGCAGTGCATTAGCGTAAATGAGCAGACTGTTTTCTCCTGGATTTGCATCTAGTAGTGACCAAAAATGACTTCTGCATCAGCATAGCAAAATATAAACAGAAGCTGGGAATATTCTTTTGAAGATTATAGTGTATCCATGTTACGTTTTTTTCCAGTAGCAGTTAATCACAGTCAGCTGAGCTTGTTTTATAATGTTGACAATGTTTGCCACTCATCCAAATAGCTACTGCAGCTTCAGTGAGTGTCAGGACCATACACCAGCATAGTGCTGGGGAAACCACTTACATGATTGGTGAAATGTATTTAACATTGCAACAAGTCCTGTTGAATGTGACTCCTAAACAGAAACTAAGACCTGTGGTGGTGGGGAACACACTGATCTCTTGAAGTACAGTACAGAGCTAAAGTGTCATTAACGTTACATCATAAAACAACCAATAAATGCTGTATTACATGCTATTCATAATCATTCAGTCCCTATGGGATTCATTTTCTTTTTTCTGCAAAAAAACCTGGTTGATCCTGTTGTTCTCTATCTCTACCTTTTCTCCATGTCCAGAATGCAATTGGGGATTTCGCAGAGCAGTTTTGGCAGCTAGTGCACATGCTCAGTTTTCAGTGTATTTCTATCCTGAGCATTTTCTCTCTATCATGCCTGAGCAGCCCATGTGACTATAGAGTCACACATGTGGGCAGATACACAGTGG